GGGGAGGGGGGGTTATTAAGTAGGAAAGTGTGTGGATGTTGGGTGAATATTGCCCGTGTGAAATTGGGAATTGTGTACAATGTTGGAGAGTTAGTAATAAATACATGGATTCAATATTTAAGTTTTATAGGTTCTACTTTTAAAAATTTTATTTTTAGATTATTATATTTTAAAATTATATATTTAAACCTATAATTTTAATATTATTTTATATAAATTTATATTTTATACTAAAAATATTGAATTCAGATGTACCGACACTCGCCACGATTAATAGACACGAATGAAGAACGTATAGAGACCGTGTGAGTCACGACCGACTTTGGTTTTGTCTCTAATTAAGTTATGTTGCACCTACGCACACGTTGTGTCATTTCCTTAATGTTAATTTATTACTTTAAGGAAAGCTAATGTTTTAAAGTATAATAAATCGGTAAACCTAATAATTAGTACTTATACGTAGTGGAGATTTTTCCTTTGCTAGTGTATCAGTTACAAATCACACGTGGAACTTGTATTTTAGCCAATAAATATTAAGCAAATTACATAATCTGAGATTAATATAATTGGGGATGATCAAATCAGGAATTAGTTTTGGAGGCTATATTGATATATGTAAATGTAATCCTTTTAATTATGTTGTTGAATCATGTAGCCCTTCATCTAAAATTTTAATTATACATTTTTTATTTACTTAGTTATATCTTCAATACGATATTTATGTTTCTATTTACTTAATTATATCTTCAATACGATATTTATGTGCTAACCTTGATTTTTTTTCATAGACCAAATACGTGAAATTTATTTTGATAATACATGGCAGAAGATCTTGAAGTTATGACCTTTGTTTACGCTTGATATGTATCAGGTTGAGATTTATGATTATTAATCTTTTAGAAAAAATAATTGAACTTCCATTTTACTCAATAATTATATCTTAAACAAAAGCTGAGTTATTATTAGCTAGGTCCTTATGTAGTGTTAATCCGAAATTTGGCTGCATATTATATTAAATTATAATCACTAATTCCCATATGATTTGTGTGTGGTTCCTACTTTATAAGTGCTTTTTCTCGGCCACAAAATTATTGAAGATGCTGATACGTTATCTTTTGAAATTATATTTAAATGTTTCGTCGACAAATTGCGGAAACGAATTATATTATTGTAATCATAATGACGTATATAATTTGGTCTCATTGTTTATGTAAAAACAACGTAAACACCAACCTAGAACATGGCATTTTCATCTTTTAATTCTTCTTTTAGTTTTCCTTTGGTCAAAAAAAGATTGCCATATTCATGCGTGTGATGTAATATACACGGAATTAAGAAAAAAGATGGAAGAAAAGAGGTGTTACGTGTTAGTTAATTGGACCTTTTCTGCTTTTCCTTTTTTATATATTTGGTCAAAGTAAAGTCTTTAACGACTGAGATTATTAAGTAAACAATTCACAGTAATCTAGCATGCACACGAGGGCCACAAGGCTGCTTTAATTTTTTTTGTAAGATTTACTTTATTTATTTTACATAATAATTAAATTAAAGTGGTTAGCTTCATTGTGTCATATTTATTTGTATTACAAAAAGAAGACGAAAATATATATTGTATGCTAAGTATATTAGTTAAAAGTTTATATCGCACGAGTTAATTTTAATACAATTTCTTGATCAATAAATTGGAAGTGAAGTGCGGGTATAAAGTGACAAAATACAACCAACAAAACAAACATCCACCAAACTTACAGCCTAATTGTAGTCATTCCACAATATAAAAACTCGAAAGACTTTAAGAAAATAACACAAAAACAGCCAAATGTTCACTCTTTTCAGAAAGTGACTTTAATTTAATAGTCAAATTCATCATCGGGTAATTGAACAATATTTCAAATCCATCAGTGCTGCATTAATTAGAATCCTGTCACTAGTATTTAAAGTCATTATTCTAAAATTCTTACTCATAAAGTTAAAATTATGACTTCACTTCTTGATCTACTTCAATAAAAATAATCTAGAAAGTTTCAAGAGTGATAAATACTTCCTCCGTTCACTTTTACTTCTCTATTATGAACTTTGCACACTCCTTAAAAAATAATAAATATAGTGCATAATTTATTATTTTCATATTAATTGATGCATATTTTTAATGCATTTGAAAAATAATTTAAAATGAGTAATTAATAATGTGGGTATAACATGAAAAAAGAAATTGTCTTCTCTTAATATGCTAAAAGTGACAAGTAAAAGTGAAAATATATTTTTAAAATATTGGACAAGTAAAAGTGAACTTAAGGAGTATTAATTTAAGAAGAGATATAAAGGATAATTTAGAAAAAACACATGCTTTATACCATTAAATAATTCTTTTAATAGACATGAGTCCATGACAAAACTTGAATTGGAAAATAAACACACTGAGCCAAGGCCAACCTCAGCTGAAAACCACGTACGAGGCTGTTCTATGGTTGTCAATAGAGAGTACTACGTGTAATATCATCCTACTCATTACATAGTTTACTATATACTGTACATCTTTTTTGTTTTCTCTTCAAATTGTGGGAAGAACCAAGAGATTCTGTATATATGCACGTGAAATTGTCTGATGAACAAACGACCAAAGATTTAGATCTTGATCCCAAATGATTCGACCTTTAATTTTTATACGTTACTAGTGTAAAAGAAAATTATATACGTTCATTATACTTTGATATATTGTAACAGATTGTGTATTTTATTTTCAAATACTGATTTCATTTTTAAGCAATTATTTGTAGTAATAAATTTTGATGACCGAAAGTAAAGGGCTGTTCGGTGAACTAAGCTCCCGCTATGCAATCATTTGATGACCGAAAGTGAAAAGAAAATATATGAATGTTTAAACATTGTAAAAATAAGGATGTTTAGATGGATGTGTGGGCATACTAGGCTGGATAAGATCTAGGAATGAAGATATCTAGGTGAAGGTGGGCGTGGCTCCCATGAAAGACAAGATGGAGGAAGTTAGGCTTAGATGGTTTGGGCATGTGCGCGGAGGATCAGAGAAGTATGGATGCCCCGGTTAGAATGTGTGAACGGATGGCCTTAACGGGTATGAGAAAAGGTAGATGACAGCTAGACAAAGAAATATTGGGGAGAGGTGATCAGGCAGGACCTGGTGCAGCTTCAGATTTCCGAGGACATGGCCCTTGATAGGAAGTTGTGAAGGACGAGCATTAATGTTGTATGTTAGGAGATAGGAGGCTAGCTTGTGTTTTGTCTTCGGCTGCTAGTGGCTCAAGTTGTGTCCATATTACTCCTTTAGGGCTGCAGGTTAGGTCGTAGGAGGCTAGTCCGATAGTGTAGTGTTTTAGGATGCTAGTGGCTCCTGTTGTATCCATATTACTCCATTGTGTTTGTAGTACTATGCCACTATAACTGCTTTTCTCTCTACTTTTTGGTTATTACGTTGCTGATGTTATCTTTCTTGCTTCCTCTGCTATTGTCGCTCCACTGTCTCTTTTTATCTTCCTGAGCCAAGGATCTATCGGAAACAACCTCTCTATTCCTCCGGAGTAGGGGTAAGATCTGCGTACACACTATCCTCCTCAAACCTTACTTGTGAGATTCCACTGAGCCGTTGTTATTTGTTAAACATTGCATGCATGCTTAAAGGTTATATTGAGCTGAACTTAAAGGAAAACATAAGGATTCATATTGATGACTCCAGTTTAAAGAAAAAAGCAAGGATTGATATAATGAATATGTCCAGATTAGCGACCATTTTAATTTCACTAAGAAATGTCGGTTAGAAATTAATATTTTTCTATTAACGTAAGAATTGAGACGTAATTATTTATTGTATTGTTGTTTGCATGCACGCTTAAATTTGTTCAGGGAATTTTTTTTTTAAATATATGAGTGTGTAGGAGTTCCCATGCGCATTTGCTCCTTCCCAAGAACTTAAAAGTTATCCTTTCTGTAAATTCATTTCCCTTCTTACATAATTTATAGTACTATATATCATTGTTATTTTTCTTTTTCTTTGTAGAACTTCATATTATACTAAATAAACTTACGATAAAAACTTACTACACCATGTGTTTACGTCAACTCAATTAATATATGATATGTCTTCACCCTAACTACACCACAATTAATTAATATAGATTCTCACCTCAATCTATCAGTTAATTAGTAAATTAGTACGAGTTGGTGCAAACACGGCCAATATGGTATAATCTTAAAAATGGTTTGATTAAAGGCTATTTAAAATTTTAAGGGGCTATTTGTACATTATGCCCATTATAATTTTAAAATTAATAAAATAACTTTTTAAATTTTTTACGTGTAAAAGACAATTTTTATGTGTAAAAATATCTCTCGTGTATAAAAAAAAGTAAGGTCATAAAACTAAAAATAAGTTTATAAAGAACCACAAAACAATTGAACTCACGTTTTTTTATGATAACTGTACTTTTTATGTGATACGTGCATCGAGAAGGATTCAACTCACCTCCATTTCCTAATCTCTCCATTTCTCCAAGTTCCTATTTGGATGGGAGATACGTAACATG